AGCATTCTCCCTCTCCCAATCACACAATGGTTTGGGCGGGAAACTCCAGTACAAGCCAGGGGAGAGGGAAGCACTTCTTACATTACTGAAAACACTAGAAGGCTTTAGAACTTGGCTGGCTTGTGCAGTCCCAATGTGTGCCTGCAACAGAAGACCACTCAGTGAACAACAGTTATGGGTAAGGGCAACCCAGTTACTCCTCCACCATCACCTTGCTGGGTTCCCGAAGCCCCCAGGGAATGTACATGCCCAGAACTCTGTACCCCAGTCTCTCTCTCCCCAGCCCTGATCAGATAAATGAAAAATAAATATTTGCCAAAACTGAGCATTGTTACAAGGAACTAGGTTTTTTTTTAATACCAGTACCGTGCAATTGTATTAACAGCTCTGATTTTTAAAAATGAAACATAATTAAATTCATGAAAGAGCATGAGAGTAGTGGAGGAAGATTGTCAGTGATGGATGATCCTGCTGCAGAATTTATCCAACAGGTGTCAGACAGAGGTCTTTTGGCTGTCCCACCATTTAGGGTGGCCCATCTAGCATCAGTCAGATTCCAGGCCTTTCCCATTGTGGCTCTGTGGAATGAGCTCCCTGAAGAGATGGTGGGTGGGTGGGGGGAATCCTAGAAGATATGCAGGAGGTGCTTCAAAGGCCTGCCTGTTTGTCGGGGCTTTTGGGGGGGGGGGTTGAGTGGCAGGAATTTTTTTTTGGGGGGGGGGTTTGGGGTTTGCTGTTTTGGTTTTTGCTGGGGGTATTTTCTGGGGATATTTTTAACTATTATTGTAAGCCACATTGAACCACAAGGAAAGGTAAGATATGTTTATATAAAATATAAATAAAAGCTTTGCTTGCTTCAGAGACATTATTCACTTTGAGGGACAGCTCCTTTCCAACCTAGCATGGACCTATCAATTTTGTTGGTTTAAAATAAATTTTCATCCCCCACCCCACCCCCTTGGGAGGAAAAAACCCCTTGTTATGTATTGTAAACACTCTTAAACACAAGCCTGTGTCTGAGGACACTTGCAACCATTACTTTGGCAAATGTGATTATGCCACCTAGTGGCACAAAGCAGAAAGTATGTTTTTATGATTGAGATTTGAAATGGAACTGAAATTTACAGGCACTGATCAGGGGTCCTTAAATAGCACTGCTCTGCCTTGGGCTCATCTGCTTTCCTCTTAGTCAATATAAATTCTGAGAGCTGCTCTATTACTCCTCATTCATGAAGCATCTGGAACCAAGCTATCCTGGCTGATAAGAGTCTCGTGTATTCTTTGGACACTTGTAGTTTATAAAAAGCACAGGACTGCATAAAGCAGTATGCAGTGGGACATGCTAAAACCATCACAGAAGGCCCTTTTAAAAAGTTGGTAAATATATGGGAGAATGCACTAAAATGTCAGCAACTTTTGTGCTAAGATGGTTAGGGGGATGGCATTCCAGGGGGTTGATTCTATGTAACTTTGGCTCCTCCTTGGCCAACTGGGTATCTCCAGCCAGAAGGGTCTTGTGAATATTAAGGGTACTGACTCAGTATGCTTGACATGCACACGCTGCATGCAGTATCCTTTGATCTCTAAGCAGTGTTAGTACGCAGTTTCTGTTTTCCTTCTCAGTGTTCAAATATACAATTATTCCACTTTCTTTAGAAATGTTCGTGCCAACCACAACTGAATACACAGTGAACCAAACTTCAGTTCCAGTGGAACTGAATGGGGCTGAGCAAGCCTAAATTCATGCTGAACCACAGTTGATACATCTTACTAGCCGCAAAGCCCGTTGTAGAAGCAATACAATGAGCTCTAGAGGGATATGATGACAATCTGCCTTCTCCCCCCCCTCCCCAGACTCTGAGGCTGAGGGCCAGCAGAACGCCCCCCCCCATTGCCTTCCCGGCTGTCCGGTCCCCTGGCTCCTCTGGCAGCCCCCGCCTCCACCGCCCGTGCCCCTAGGACACGATGGCAGCGTGCTTTCGCCCCCTTCCCCAAACCCCGGGTCCGAGGGCCAGCAGAACGCCCTGCCAGTGCCTTCCCGGCTGGCCCCGCCACCCGCGGCCACCTCCACCCCAAGAAGGCTATGCTGGTAATCTGCTTTCTCCCCCCTCCCCAGACCCCGGGTCTGAGGGACAGCGGAACATCCCACCAGTGCCTTCCTGGCCACTCGGCTCTGCCGCCCGCGGCAGCCCTGAGAAGACTATGCTGGCAATCTGCTTTCTCCCCCCTACCCAGACCCCAGGGTCAAGGGCCAGCAGAACGCCTCGTCAGTGCCTTCCTGGCCGCCCCCGACGGCCGCGGTGCCACAATGAGAGGGCTCTGCCTCATGACCATTCACCCACTGGAGTCTCTGGCCCATCTGTCGCCTCCCAGCACACTGAGGCCGAGAGGCTGGGTGGTATGTGTGTGGACAGGACTCAGGCAGCGCAGCCAGTGGAAAACTGGACAGCTACTGAGTGGCAGTTCAGTCAGCCAATTGATTTGGGAGTGCATCGAACGTTGCTACTCCAAAACAGAATTATTATATAGGAGAGAGAAGAATACTGTGAATGAATGTGTCAGGCACCCTTGTATACTACAGGAATGGTATCCACATAATATAGATACAGCTGCAGTGAGATACTGCTATGACTGAGGGAATCAAGCTTCAATTATGGCTCAGTTCTCACTGAGTACTCCCAGCTCCAAACTGCAGGTGGAGGCTAACATGATTGAATGCTTCTCCATACAAGGAGATCTCATTTACATTAAAATGAAAACCTGGTGTGCCAGTTAGGACAGTTAGAACTTTCCCCCCTGACATTTTCTTTTCTGTGGTAGAACTGTTTCATATGTAAAAACATTCAGTCATATATGCCCCCTCTTTTAGTGTGAAGTGTACAGTACAGACAAAGGTTTCCTATCTCAGTGAGAATTAGGCCCCTATTTTAACACATTCATCCACCATTAACTAAATGATTAATGCAGCCTGTTCCCCTGTAAAATATGTCACTTCACATCTGCTGCTTTAAACATAAAATACTGCAAACAAATTACAGATGATGCATTTGCTAATGCTGCAATCCTCTGCATTTATGTGGCAATCATCATCTCAATGAACTCCCTAAGTAATCATGTACAGAATAAGACTGCGTGTTCCTTTGCATCGTTTTCCATCAGCTACTGGTAATGGCATGCCCTATCATTTTGATGGTGGTCTGAATTTTCAGATGGCTGCATTTTCTGAAAAACAAACTCACACCATGCTTTTAATTTCCCCCCTTTATTTCAAATTTTACAAAAGTATAGCACAGCCCTGCCCTATGTATGACAATAGCACAAAAACAAGTCCAGTTATATAAGAAAATATTACAAAGCTGGATATACAGAAATCCATGCCTACCATGAGAGAAGAAGCAGGCAATAAAAAGTACTTGCTTATTCTGGTTGAGTAGGAAAACAAGTAATATATTATTCCCCTATTGATCACTAACCCCAGTGTGGCATTTAGTAGATGAAAACATGTATTAAAAACAGTAAACCTGGGGGGGGAGGGGGGCGCTTAAGTCCTATTTTTTTTTAAGAAAAAAGTTATTCAGAGGCATGTATTTTATCATGTTTACCATGATCAACACTTCATCTTTCTTTTTTTTTTTTTTTGCTTTTCTCAAGTATACCTGCATATAATTATACATATGTGAAGAGAGCAACTGACTAAGGGCACCCAACACATTTTGGTGGCTAAGTGGGAACCTAAAGACAGGTCTCCCTGGTCCATCTCCAATACTGCATCCCTTGCACCAGCTGGGTTCTAGATCCAACGATGCATCCGCTGCACCACCTCTCTACAAAAATTTACAATCTACTGCATGATTGTATCCTTTCCAAAAAGCAGTCCTCTTTATTTCAGAGCTGTATGTATACTTATAGGTGGGGTTTTTTTGCATGCACAGAATGAAGCTGATACAAATGCACAAATATGCATAGATCAGCTGTCTTTGCTGATATGACTGGGGCAACAGGGATATTCCCTGCATACATTAGAGCTCATGTGGAGTTTTAAAATCAGGGCTCATTATTGGAGGTTTTGGTCACTAAATACGAACGTTCGTAGTTCCCAACAGAATGCCAGACCTACATCTTAAAGAAACAGTATGGTATCTTATCTATCAAAAAAACTTGCTTGTTCTTCCTAGTTCTTCCCTATATAAATAGTGCTTGGAAAAACTTTAGTTGGTTATAATATTAAACTAATCTCACAGTTTGAGTGTTTCTTGGACAGCAGCTAGTACTGGGCAAGATAAATGAATAATCTTCATTATTCTTTGCAATGGTTTATGTGATGTGTACTAAGGATCATCAAACCCCACCTCCCGGGTGCTTCCACTAGCCAAATCTATCTGCACAGAGGATAAGCCGACCCTCCATTTGCCAACTAGGAGGCAAAGAAGGTGAATGTATGGAAGGTGTGATGTTCATGCAGATACTTGTACTTCCTGGTAGAAATCTCTGCCGTGGCCTATCATGCTTCCCCCTCAAAGCAATCAATCTGCAAAACTAGGGGATCCACATTAACTGATGGCTCTGGGGGTGTCTGCAAAATACTGGGGCTTGTCTTAGTGACTGGTAAAAGGATATGGAAACAAGACTGAACCAAATTCCTTTTTTCAGTCCACCTATTTTTACATGTATGTTTGCTTCTAAATGTGTAAAAACCTGTAGCCTAGAAGTGGTGATACACTTGATATACTAACAGACACTCATGCTTCTTATTCCTATCAAGCAGCCTGATCAACTAGTCAGTGAAACCAGATTGTTTTGACAGTTAAGACAATTCAACTTTGAAGGCAATATGCCCACTAAATTAAAATTCAAGTACTTTGGCAACAGCAAAAGTAATCTTAAACACACTAAGGAATAAATCATATAAACTCATTGTAACTTAATTCTGAGTCAACATGTTTAGGATCACACTACAAATTAGTGAGAAACAGCTATTTAAAGTGTGCTGCATAGGCAAGCCTGTAGATCCTAAAATGTATATAGCTATGCACCTACATTAAGAGGTGTGTCTCATTTTTATTAATACAGTTATTTTCGTGTATGCAACATCAGTAGCCACTTGCAGTAGTTCCTGATGTGTTCTTTTTGAGAGAGTACTGTGGGAAGACTAAAAAAACCTATTCAGGCCTTGAGAAAAACAAACCACTACTTTTTTCAATGTCAACTTTATCTACAAAGCGAAAGATGAAAAATACAGCACTTAGGAGCGTGTATATTGCACAGAGCTGTATTTTGTGAGCCTTGAGGACTTGTTCAAAGAAGAACCAGGGGGAAAGACTTCCTCTGTGCTGGCTTGGTGAAAAACAGGATCTGAGATCAAGACATGTTCTTGCCTATCAGTGCCAGAATATATAGTTGGTTCTGTCATGGTTCGCATGCCTGCAGCCTGCCAACCAGGGGAGGATGAAGTTACTACCACGTTTTGTCCTTCTGATAAATTGGGGATGCTTAAGGAGGCCTGCAGGTTAGAACTAGGCACAAGGACCCTCTCCCTTTCTCTCACTACAACATACTTTGAATCTGGGAGGTCCTGAAATACTCCATGAGGTATTTCTAACATTTCCTGCAAGCTGGAAGCAGGAGCAAGCACCCTCTCTGTCACAACAACATTTTCATTCAACTGAGGGTCTAGGATCACTGTGGAGGGTGTTGCCCCATAAGACGTTTCTGTCACAACAACACTGCTGCTTACCATGGGGTCAGGTATAGGCTTCGCTGGCTGGAGGCCGGCCCTAGATGCAAAAGCTGTCTCAGTTACTAATTCTTCCGTTACAATCTCTGCACCAAAATCTTTTGTAGTTTCAGGTAGTTGGTAGCTGGATCCTGAAGAATAGTTGTGCTTTGAACTCAAGCCATGCACATCCAATTCATCCACTGTGTCTTTCAGGACTTGAGAACTGTGCTGCTTGGCTACTGTTCCCATGCGTTTGCCCACACAGATTTCAGCTAGAGTCTTAAATTTATCTCCTAAATCATCCAGGAAATGGTCATCAAAATCATCTTCAATAAAGCTGCAGCAGCCAACAGAGCCATGAGTAGATCCTCCTTCCTCCTCCTGAGAGTAAACTAACAGGCAGTCTTTTACAAGCTGACCTTCATCTTCATCAGCGAAAGCAACATATTTCTAAATGAGGGGAAACAAGCAGTAATGGTGAAAATCCACATTAGGGAGATTATAATTTTATTTCATTAAAGCAAGCGTCAGTGTTGCACACATCCTTTAAAAGTGCATTACTGTTCAAACAAACACCTTAGGATTCAGTCCTCTACTATTTTTAACTCTGGAGTCATCCTGGAGCATGGCTTTGTCTTAGATTTCAATCCAAGGATCACAACTTGGCAGCAGGATTCCAGTGCAATACATCCAAAACCCAATTTTTATTCTGCCATACTCCAGCTTCCTATTTATTAGCACCCCTGTTTATTTGTCACTTGGAGCCACGGTGGCTCAAGTGGTTAAGACGCTGAACTGCAGGCTGTAGAAGGTCAGTAGTTCAGCAGTTCAAGACCCAGGTGAGGCAAGACGGGGTGAGCTCCTGTCTCTAGTTCCAGCTCCTGCCAACCTAGCAGTTCGAAAGCAAGAAATTGCAAGTAGATAAATAGGTACCACTTCGGTGGGAAGGTAACAGCGTTCCGTGCACCTTGGTGTTTAGTCATGCCGGCCACATGACCACGGAAACGTCTTCGGACAGCGCTGGCTCTTCGGCTTTGAAACGGAGATGAGCACCGCAACCCTAGAGTCGGATTCGACTGGCTTTCGAGCAAGGGAACCTTTACCTTTACCTTATTTGTCACTTAGTCCTTATTAATTATTTCATACTTTGCTTAAATCTTAACAAACAAAAAAGAAATCTGTTAACGCTATACAGATTAGAACCAGCATGGATTGAAATGATTATTCATAAAATGTAATCCTGGCCAACAAAGAAAAACCATGAAACTGAGGACGCCTTTTGTGTTAGCTTCCTTGTGAAAGTAGAATTGTCATGAACCACTTTTAAAAGGAGACTGGGCAAATTCCTGACAGATGGGTCTAACAAAGAGCTACCAGACATCATCAACTCTAGATGGAACACCCATGTTCAGAGGCAGTGAACCTCTGATTAAGGAATGGCCAGCATCTTCCTGTCCGTTTTGTAAATTCGCAAAACAATTCAGCGATCCATGGTAGGAATTGGAATGCTACGCTAGGAGACCTTAAGGGGCCCTTTCACACATGCTAAATAATGCAGTTTCAATCCACTTCAGTGACTGTTTGCAAGTGGATTTTGCCATTTCACACAGTAAAATCCAGTCGCAAAGTGCATTGAAAGCACCACTGTATAGAAATATTGATTTCTAAAAGCTTCATGCCTTCTCCTGTGATTGCATTCTGATGACATGCCTTATTTCCTGTTACCAGCCAAATGGTGAGGCCCAGATGGCCTTGATAGCCATGCCATAAACCACATTCCTTCACACCTCTAAGGGGGGAGGCAGGCCTCATGCAAGAAGGCACATAGGCAATGGGGAGGCTGGAGTTGGGGTCACCTGACTGCGGAGGGTGTTCCCAAACCCCCAGCCTATCACCTCACGTTGCTATGACAACTAAGATTTGGACATACCCCATTCCACTCCCTATTGGCTCCTGGCCAGGGATAATTTGGGACTGAAATTGGGCTATATCTGTTCAGACCCAATGAGAGAGACTCTCTCTCTCTCTGCTCTTGTGTTCTTGCTCTCTGTTCCTGGTAGTGAGGTCTGCTTGTTTATTGCACCTGGACATGTGGTCTGTTGGAGAACAAAGGATTGCTTGGTGAGCTGAGCACATGGCGTGCAAAGATGGGATTGTTCCTTTGGCACCTAACTGGACTGTACCCTGGACACTTTTGGAACATGGACACTGTACTGGTAATTATGCACGAACCACTTTTAAAAGGAGGCTGGGCAAATTCCTGACAGATGGGTCTACAAAGAGCTACCAGACATCATCAACGCTGGATGGAACACCCATGTTCAGAGGCAGTGAACCTCTGATTAAGGAATGGCCAGCATCTTCCTGTTGTTTTGTAAATTCGCAAAACAATTCAGCGATCCATGGTAGGAATTGGAATGCTACGCTAGGAGACCTTAAGGGGCTGTTTCAGACATGCTAAATAATGCAGTTTCAATCCACTTCAGTGACTGTTTGCAAGTGGATTTTGCCATTTCACACATTCCTGGACAGGCTTGAGGGGCAGAAACCTATACAACCACTTTGTCTCATCCAGCAAGGTATTTATTTTATTATTTATTTAAAACATTTCTATGCCACCTTTCCACCCAAATATGGTCCTCGAGGCAGCACACATCAAAACATTAAAGCAATTTAAAATAAAGTATATATAAAATAAACAATTCAATAAAAACATATAAACACACATAGTCACACAATAAGGATGGAGGGTCAATAACAGTTACTGCTTGTATGCCGAACAAAACAAAAAGTCTTCAACCGCTGGCAGTAGACAATGAGAGAGGGAGACAGATTAATCTCCTTACTGAGGGAGTTCCAAAGTTCTGATGTCATGACTGAGAAAGCCCTTTCTTGGATTGTCACCTGCCTATCTGCAAATGGTAGGGGCACCCAAAGGACGGCCTCCAAAGATGATCAGAGTGATGGGTACGTTTGTATCAGAGAAAGTGGTCCTTAAGCCCGTACAGGGCCGAAAGGTCAACACCAGCACCTTGAATTGGACCCAGAAGCAACCTGAGAGCCAGTGTAGATAAAAGAAAATGGACTGATATGGTCCCTTCAACCCACTTCAGTCAACAGGTAACTTTTCTATCACTTTGTCTTACAACACGCAAACAAAAGAGAAGAAAAAGGTCAATTAAAACAGTGAAATCCTACAAGAAACAGGAATCTTACATCATTGAAGTAACTCCTTAAGAAGTCTTCGTTCACGGCTCCTCCAGTTTCCATGGCCATAGTCCCTCCAGCACCCATCATTCCTCCAGAACCCATTACCATGGTACCTCTGGCTGCCATGCCTCCTCCAGCTGCCATGGCTGATGCACCCCCTGATTCCATGCCTCCATAACCTGCACCGGACAGAAGAGCTCTTTGCTCTTCCCATCGCCCATCGGTCACTTTCATGCTGTTGTAATGTTCTTTCATCATAGAAGAAGAGCCACCACCCTGAGTAGCTGCTGCTCCTACACCCACAGCTGCTGCTCCAACTCCCATACTTGAGGCAGAGTTGTCCAACGCAGGGGGAGCGATGAGGTTTAGGAATGCCTAACACCACAGACAGGAATTAAACCATAAATAGAATTCAGTTCAGTTACTAAACAGCACAGCAGATTGGATTGGGTGGAAGTGACTAGGGCTAACCTGACTCATTATGAGATATTTTATGTGCTATGGCACTGGGAGAAAAGTCAGAACAGCTTTGTTATAAAAATCTATAAGAGGATATGTAATACTAGAACAAAGACCCAACGATTCAGTTAGATGTACTGCTCCCAAGGTCTGTTCAGAAGGGCTCAGAACCCAGTTGCTTCCCACAACCCAAGAACGACTGCTAGGGAAGCACAGCTTTTATGCAGTCTTTCTTCCCATACCCTTCAGTTTAGTTGCATTGGAAAAAATACTTTATAAATAGCTACTTTTTCTTAGGAAATAAGGTCCTTTTTTCAATGAACAACACATGCAGAGGTGGTGTGGGGATTATAATCTGGACTGTACCACTTCACACTGGAAGTGGGGGGTTTATGTGATGGAGTGCTCCAGCATGTAACATATTTTGACACATACAATCAACCGAAGAAAAAGAGTAGAATAGTTCTATCTAATATGAAAATTTACTGTATGGAAAATGTGTGTAGAGCAACATTCCGTCATGTGGCCTCTGTCTAAAGGTTGAAACCCCAAGGCACCAAATACAAAATGAAGATATAAAAAAGAAACCTTGTTTTCAGGAGCTGCCCCTTCATTGTTCCAGTTACGCAACATTTCTTCGCTGTTATCGGGTATTGCTGCAAAACCTTTCGTAGCACCTGACCCAGCACGACACATCAGCAACAAGAGAGGCAGCACTGTAAAAGAACATAAACGTTATCTGTGAACCACCACCAACAAACAAAAAGGAAGGCACAAACTGTTTCAATTTGTAAAAGCAACATCTATATCCATCCATTCACTCCACAGATCAAAACCTGAATTGTTGAAAACTAACCAACCAACCCAACCCAACCCAACCAACCAATAGTAGCTGATAATATTTGGAAAATTTAGGATATGACCTAAAATCTGGCTTAGAGTTCAGGGGGAGTGTCTCATCATATATGAAGAGGATGCCTCTCTATGACCGAAAGCAATGCTACAGACAAGGGGAGAGGACATACGCTAATGCCCGCTGACATTAGGCAATATCTGCTGTCCTCTCTCAAGTGGTGTGTACCACAATCAGTAGCATGATAGGGAGATTTAGGGCCAAACCAGATTTGATGCGAAAGATCTCTGATAAGGCGACGAGATCTTAACATTTTTAATTTTTCCTTCAGTTGTATGTGGGGATAATATCCATAGTGCTCAGACAGGAGAGGTCTTAGTTGCTTCCCCCATGTGATTTCCCTTATAGATATCCTCTCCACAGCTCCCGTTAACCATAGTAGGTAAAGAAAACTGGTACATTACTTTAGTGAAAACAAGAGCTAAAGCAAACATGATGGCGGAGCTGTACATTTTCAAGTGACTACCTCTTCATATTTATGGGGATAGGTAAGGGCCTAATACTAAGCATAGTAGAGTCTGTGGGTGAGGGCAGCTATACTATGACCCTTTCTGTTAACATTTAGTGTTTGTTTACAGAGTCAGTGTATTATTCAGTGTGTTGGATTAGAACTGGATTAAGGTTCAAATCTGATACAAACATGGTATGACAAAACCTGGGATCTATTTATTTTAGATAAGCTGACACAGATCACTCAAGTTACAGCAGCAGATACATCAAAGGCATATGAGTGGTTTGTTGCAGTTTGGTCTAGGGTGCTTCAGTATATGTCAGAAAAGAACATACTTCCTTCAAAGGCCGCTTATGTCCTCTGGATACACTTTTAGTTTTATTTCTAACCAAGCTCATAGGAGACAGTACATTAGCTCGATCACCATTCTAGAAGCTGGTTTTATTGCATCATTCACTAGTATGTAGGCTAGAGGGTAGCAATAAAGGTTATTATTGTGTAGACTTGCTGGTTTCAGTTGTGTTTATAAGCTTTTGTTTGGTTTATCACTTACTGTAACGATAGGCTTTTATAACATGTATGAAAATGCTGTTATGCTGTTTTGCTCTTTTTAATAAAAAACTAAAAAAAAAAAAGGTTGAAATCCCTAATCAGCAATGAAGCTTACTTAGGCTAGTCACTTTTTCTCCAGTGGTACAGGAGTGGGGCAGTCCTCCAGACTCCTTACTCCTGGGTAACAGCTCCTCTCCTCCGTAGGTGGGGCCGGCAGACTCTTTTGGTCACGGAGGGGAGGGGCTTGTGCTCCTGCATCCCAGTCTATCCGTCCCTGCCTTCAGAGCAGGAAGCTGCAGACTGTGCTCTGTGGAGCACACTAGTCACAGGAATTTGAAGAAAGAAGGGGAAGGAGCAGGTAGAAGACCTTTCTAGCCTGATCCCCCCCCCCCCCCGCGGCCCGGGCCCCCGCGGGGCGTGGCAGACGTGGACGTGCGAGAGCCCCGGAGAACAGCGCCGCTGCAACGTCTCCCGTGCCTGGCTTCCAGCCCGAGGGGACTGGTTAAGCTTCTTCCTGGAGGCTGCTGGTGGCAGAGAACTCCAGAGGGCGACGGTAGAGGCTCCAGAGGGCGACGGTAGAGGCTCTGTCTAGCCTGGAGGGACAGACGCAGTGCTGCTGGAGAGTCCCAGGCAGACGATAAGACGATTGGTGTCCCTCTGTTTTTTCCCCGCGCTGCAGAGGACGTCGGGGGAAGCAGGAAGGAGGAACCGGTCGCTTCAGAACGCGGTAAAATCACTCCTGGGGACAGGGGAACTACAGGAGGATGGCGTTTTTAACACCCCCTTGTTTCCCCTCTCTTTGCCTGGTTCCCTTCGTCCCCATTGTAGTTTACTATTGGGGGAGACCTGTGGAGTCGGGAGAATGTGAGTTCGGGGGGGGAGGTCTGAGATGTAACCATTCTCTGTGAAGAACCCTCCCCCCCTCTCTGTTGGTGCTTCATATGTTTTTTTCTGGGGGTCTTTCTTTTTGGTTGGGGCTGGATCCTATGTCCTCCCTCCCATTCCCCTTCCCCCCCCTCAACTAAGGAACTCCTTTCCTAGGGACTAGCACGTTCAGAGGGAAAGGGAAAGCACCCTTCTTGTGGGGACTTAATAATGGCGGGAAACGGCCATTTTGAGTGATCCTGCCCACTTTCACTTTCAGATTTTTCACAAAATGGCTGAAAAGGCAGGGACGTCTTGTGGCCAGGGATTGCAGGAGGCCACTTGCACCTTTGATCTGGCTGATTCCCCTAAGTCCACAGCCTCTCACACTGGAACCTCTGCTGGGGATGACTCCCAAGCTAATCTACTATCTTGGATCAAACTAGAGATGAAAAAAGAATTTAGAGCTTTGTGGCAAGAGTCCCAGAGTGCAGCTAGTGCAGCAGAGGGATCTTCTGTGAGCACATTAGGAAACAAAAGACACCTGTCCAGTGAACTGGAGGAGTCTATTCCTAATAAAAGCAGAAAAAAGGATACTAAAACAAATAGAGAGCATAGTCCTCTGATGAGTGGCCATGATTCTGATGTCTCTGAGTCTCCCAAAGAAGAGTCTGCTGCCCTGCCTGCCTGCCTGTTTGCCTCTCTGGCAACTGACCCACCTGGGTTGCATTTGGGTTAGGTGCTTGCTTGGTCAGGTATTTGGCACCATGAGAGGGGGTGAAAGAGGCCATGCTCGTGGCTGCGGGAAGATGCCATCACTTTCCCCTGTACCAAGTGGTCATGGGTGACGAGCACAGCCTCCCCCCCAGTGGAGGATGCTCCCAGCACATCATTGGGGGTCTCAGAGCCCACTTCCCCTGCTTCAACCATGTGACTCTCAACTGCTGCTCGAGAGTTTTCAGTGCTGCTGCCTAAGCTGCAGCACAAAACTCTGTTTGAAAGGCAGGATCATGGCAGCAGTGACTTGGAGGGTGGTGGTGGTGATGCTTCCTCCCCTTCCACATCCCAAGATTCCAACCCCCTGCTGCTTCTACTTCCATCAGTATGCCTCCATCTAGCACTCCCCAACCCAATGCCAGGAAGCAACTGTGCCTCCTACCTACTCCAACCATGGGCATGGGGACATGGTCCCACTCTGCCACCTGGAAATACTTCCATACCCTGGGGAGTGACCCATGCATGGCAGAGTGCCAGGTATGCCACACCTGTGTCCAGAGGGGCTGGGACCCACAACGCTTAACCACCACTGTTCTGGAGGCACCTGCAAAGGGCACACTCCAGTTTGTCACCGCCCAAGGAAGGAGTGTCGGCCACTAGTGGGAGGCAGAAGAGAGACCCACTTCCACTCAGCAGGGAGAGATGGAGGGAAAG